GGGTGCATCCATGTAAAGACGTAGTAATGCCGCTCCGGCTGGCGGTTCTGTGCGCCTGGTGCACTAAGGTTGCTCCTAGTTACGACGTAACTGTTAACCGGTTTGGACCGTCGGCAGCGCTGCTGCCGCATGTTACCGTTATGTAATGGCCTCGACAATGGTAACGTGAAAGAACCCAGCCCACTCGGTGGGTGGGCCAGCGGGGCAGGCCGTACGCTTTACTCCGCCCCGTGGATCACGCCCTAGTGCGCGACATGCGCAATGGCAACGAAAAGCGGTGGGTTGCCCGCTACGGCTTCTGGTCGCCTGGTAATCCTTGGGCGTTACCTTAAGAAGGGTTAAACCGCTGATGGACACGTGTCTGTCTATTTGAATGTGCTGCCGCTGCTGTTGCTGCTGCTGCTGCAGAGGTTCTTGGCCGCGTTCTTGGCAAAAATCACAAAGAGCCAGTCCGGCGGTGCGGCACTCTTTTTGGGCGCCACCCAGTGCCCGTACTCGCTAATTGAAACGCTCCGCGGGACTCGGAGGTGGACGGTGCCTGTGACCCACCCACTTGGGCGGGCAGAACGCGACCTGCCATCCACAGGGGCGTAGTCCCTGCCATCGGGTTCCTGTTCCAGTGGTTGTCGGTGTTGCACAGACTCTGGCTTGAAAGTAGCCAGATTCACTGAAAGTAATTGCATTGGATTTTAGTGGTATGTACATATGTACATTCTTTAACAGCAAATTTAACATTTTTTCAAATTTGTATTGAGAAAATTCATATAAAATGGCTTTGATTCGGCTTATCCTTCTACCTTTTAAAATCGTGTTATTGCTCGACTTTCTTGTATTTATTTATTATTGAAGCTCCGCCTAAGAGTTTTGGCTACTTCTTTTTTAAAGGCATTAAGTAGCCAACACAGCAGCACTAGGGGTTGCAGAGCCGAGAACACGCCACTACCATCGAAACCCACCCCTAAGTAAGCAATGGCAATGTCAAGCGACACACCCCTCGCGCACGCACACACACACATGGGCAACCATCGAGTCCTTTCGATTTCATTATATTCGCTATATAAGGGGTGTCCTCAGAATCACACATTCCACACTCCTCCTGAAATTGCTGTGCGCCTGGTATTAGACCTCAAGCGGAATTTCCTTTCGTTTGATTGTAAGTTGTGGGAACGCGCAACAGGATGCGTGCCAAATTTTTGTATTATTCCAATATTAACATCTGGGAAAGAAACTTAATATTATTTTATAATTGTTACAATTGTTAAGATTAATTTTGTATATAATAACTTTTTAATATAAGTGGGATAAATTTAATAAGTAATAGTAGTTATTAACTAGTAATTATTATTATTTCTTTTTTTTTTAATTAGTACCAGCTCTTTACCACAAAAAATTAAACAAACGGTAAAGCCAGAAATCAGAGATAATAAAGTTAAAATCGATTGTTCTCATCAACGATTAATATTCGTCGATAATCCAATTGGATTTGAACAACAGTCCTTCCGCTCTCGTTACAATTTATTTCCTGCGCTATTTTAAAGATTGTAGTGATGTTTCAAGGGCTTTAATATGCGAACAGGACATCTTAAATATAAAATAACATTTAAATTTCTGACGGCTTTTAAAATGTTGCAAAATATAAATCTGACCGAAACTCATCGGTTAACAATTGAAAAGATTAGGGATACCTCGAATGGTATTTATTTTTGGAGCGCTTGGTATTTTTATCGTTAGCGGCGCGCGGTCATACTGGTAACGTATTAGTTACCATTGTAAAATATTCGGCAATTTCCGACTGCCTGCTGGCGGCCAAATAACTGCGGAATGTTTGAGCAGCTGGTCTGAGAACTAGTGCCGGCTGCCCGAGCCCAGTACACCGGGTAACCCACTCCGTCGGCCCTGAACACAACAGAACACTCTGAAGCCCCAAAGGCAGCGCACGCACATCTGGCAACCGACTGTAAACAAACTCGGGATATGGTAATTAGATGATGCCGATATGGAGTGTGCAAATCATGCGAAAACTAGTTTCAGAGCCGCGCCGGTTGTTGAACTCTTGACACTTGACTGGGAATACATTATCGCCCGCGGGTTCAATAGGAATCGGAGAATCTGTCGACTCAGCCGCACTGTACATTCAATCCGAAACACGCCACATGTACGCCTATAAGATGAGTCGGGTTCCAGAGCTGGTCATATGGTGAGAGCCCAATGAAGTTGCCAATCAAATTAATCTAATCCCGCCCTTAAACACTGAACAGCTCTTTCATCGTGGTCAGCCTGCTGGTCATACACTTCTTTTCGGATCTGCTGAGGGCCTCCCTAGGGGGCTACTACAACCAGGATGTTACCCTTTCCCAGCTGGTGGAGTCGCAGAGCTCGGACTACGCATGGTTCCTTAAGCTTCTGGTCAATTGCTTTGGTTATAGCTGCGTCTTTGTGCCGGGTTACTTGATCTACAAATATGTCGGCAGGGTTAACTACCTGGAAAGGGGCAACAAGACATTCCTGCACAAGGCTATCAATATGTGTATCACGGGCAACTCTGGCTACGATCAATTGGATGCAGGTAGCAGCGCCGCGGATAAGGAACGTCCGGCGGCATCTACGGCAGCCAAGCGAACGAGTTCCCAGGAGGCCGTGCAACTGTTATGGTGCTTTGGCGGATTGATGATCTCCTATCTCACCTGGGGTGTGTTGCAGGAGAAGATAATGACGCAAAACTATCTCAACTTCACTGGACAAAGTGCCAAGTTTAAGGATTCTCAGTTCCTAGTATTTTCCAATCGTCTGCTGGCTTTTCTCGTTTCGCTGGCCTATCTCCAATGGCAGCCCTCACCTGTGCGTCACCGTGCACCTCTGTACAAGTACTCCTATGCCTCCTTCTCGAATATAATGAGCGCATGGTTCCAGTACGAGGCCCTGAAGTTTGTCAACTTTCCCACCCAGGTGCTGGCCAAGTCGTGCAAGATTATACCCGTGATGCTGATGGGCAAAATAATGTCCAAGACGAAGTACGAGAGTTACGAGTATGTGACGGCCCTGCTCATATCGCTGGGCATGATCTTCTTCATGAGCGGCTCCGCGGACAGCAGCAAGGCCAGCGGAGTGACCACGCTCACAGGCATCTTCCTGCTCTCCATGTACATGGTCTTCGACAGCTTCACTGCCAATTGGCAGGGGTCGCTTTTCAAGACCTACTCCATGACTCCGTTGCAGATGATGTGCGGCGTCAACATGTTTTCCTCCATCTTCACTGGAGCCTCGCTGTCCATGCAGGGAGGATTCATGGACTCCTTGGCATTTGCCACAGAGGTAAATATATAAAAAGTTACATCGACATGATCATCAATTGATATCACTATCACACATTTAACAAAAATAGCGTAGCTTGTTCTGAAGAAAATTTTGTTTATTTCTTGTTGTTAGCATAACCCAAATTCTAAACTTGTCTTCTGGTATTCAACTGTATGTTTTATGTACTTTCACAATAGCAGAATTTTTGTTTAAAATAGCAATTGATTTTGAAAAAAAAAATGTTTTTTCAAGCAGTAGATATAGATGATACTACCTCACGTTCCTTTGTATTTTTATTCCAGCATCCTAAGTTCGTGTTTGATATGGTTGTGATCTCCGTTTGCTCAGCGGTCGGCCAATTGTTTATCTATCACACAATTGATGTCTTCGGCCCAGTTGTGTTTACCATAATAATGACACTGCGTCAGGTGAGTTATTTTGAGAAAGTGGAAAGGGGCTTGTTTGATCAGTTGCCTGCTTACGAACAATTTGTTTCTGCTTCCCACAGGCGGTGGCCATCATGCTCTCCTGCTTCATATACCAGCACAGCATTTCGCTGTTGGGCATCTTCGGCGTTCTGATCGTTTTCGTGGCCATCTTCCTGAGGGTCTACTGCACCCAGCGATTGAGGGCCATTCGGAAACGGGACGAGGCTAACAAACCTAAAATGGCAGTCTAACTAGGGACGTGGACTCCCCTCGAATGCAACGCACAGACTTTCCGGCTCAGCCTTTTTATTGTGCTCATAGTAGCCCATGGAAGATCACACTTCCAAAGCCCAAACAAAGAGGCTGCTTGGACTCTTCAAGAATTGTATAGTTTTGTTTTCATAGTTCTAAGTTGAATGTATACTTGTATCCTAATGGTAAGCGTAGATGACTAACGGGCGATTCATGTGCTTAAATAAACATTTTTATGTGTAGTGCAATGATCCAAAAGAAATTAAATACTGTATTTTTTGTTTTTCGTTTGAAAAACGATTAACGTTAAGTCCCACCATTGAATGTAATATTTAGCTAAAAGGTATTTCTGAGAATTCGATTTCTATTTTCCTATGTTAAACGAAACCCTGTTTGGTAAAGGGGCTAAACTTGTAAAAAGATTTCAAGTTTTATTTAAAGACGATGAGATGATTCATATTTTTCTTCATACCTCTATAGTTGCTTATTTGCTCTTTTTAGATATTAATAACAGTGCAGAGGGTCATAAATCGGGTGGCCGTTCGAGAAAAAATTTGATTAATGTGAGAAGCATCCGTGCATCCCCCAAAACCTAATTGGCTTGACTCCCATATTAGCGATACTTGGTGCAGCCGGTAAGCTCGACATTGACCCACTTTCGGGTTACATTTTTGGCAGAAACGTGGTTTTGGCCAAAGCAGCGCTGGGTGAGAGCTTCCATCGCTTGGTTCAGGTCAATGCACATGAGTTGCCGAGTGTAACATGTTTTTACTAGGCTATTGTTGCGCTATGTGGGCGATTATACTGATGATGATGAGGTTGATGATGCCGGTGGCTCGGGTGGGCGGCCTGAATTACCATATCAAAACAATGCCCTGGAAAAATTGAGCCAATAAAAAAGGGCATTATGCAATATCGCCGGTGTCTGGCTGCCTTCTAAGGGAATAACAACCAATTTGCCAAATTCGAGTTGGTTTTTTCGCGCACGGGCAAGGTGATAAGTTGGGGCGTACTCCGCAATAGAGGAATAGTTTGTGCCCATCCCGCCGAGCGTGCAGAAGTGTTTCAGCAATAGAATCGCGTTTCCAACATGAAACTGTTCCTTCTACTCCTTCTGGGAGCCCTGGGCTCTTCGTTGGCCTATCCGCGCACCTATAGTTACGAGTATCCCCGCCGAAGGGCCTACTCCACGTCGTATTCCGGGAATTCGTATAGCTCCTTGGGCAGTCGCAAGGCCAGGGACGAAAGTACCACCAACAAATCGGACAAGGAGAATGCCAAGTTTGCCGGTGCTTCCAATCAGAAGTTGGATGACATCGGTGACGAACGCACACTGCTGCTGAAAAAGAAGCTCAAGAGGTTGGCCAGGCCCTATCTTGGAGGATATGGCGGATATGGTGGATACGGAGGATATGGTGGATATGGCGGATATGGAGGATACGGCGGTGGTCCCTGCTCTCCGTTTGGTCGCGATGCTAAAGGTGGTCAGAGTCAGAAGGATCCCGATGAACAGGGTCGCTTTCTCTTCGACGTAAATGTGGTGAAAGTCTATCCCGGCGGTTGTCGCGGCTACGGAGGAGGTGGATTGGGCGGAGGTCTTCTGTCAGATCCTCTGCCACCTGTACAGCCCATTCCAGTGCCAGTGCGTCCGTACGCTCCATTTGCCACCTGGCTGTCGCTCTTTGCTCCGGGAATTCTGAATTCCGCTGTGGTTCCTGGAGTTCCAGTTAGGGATCCTCTGAGAGATCCAGTTCGTCCTGCTGGCGATGCGCAGAGCGATCCTGAAGTGGATCCCAACTATGCGGCACCTCCGCCAGTGAGGCGACCTGTTCCCAATCGTGTGTACTACGATTCCGTGGGAGCGGTAAGTTTAATCAAATCTTTTATTTTATAATTTTCTTGATAATCATATTTTTAATATTCTTTTATGGCAGCCTCCAGTGACACCTGCTCAACTAGTTGGAGGTGTGGCCACTACAGTAAACGGAATCATTCAGCAATTGACCGGACAGGTGCAGCCAGTTTACCAAACTGGAGGCTACCGGTCAAGGGATCAGCGAAGCAGCTACGGATAAGGAGTTACAAATAGATTTGTATGCAGCGATATGTACATTTTTAGTGTAAATAGTTTTAAGTAATAATAGTAACGATTTTATGTACGACATACGTTGACAATTATTTAACGAAGATTTTTTACAAATAAAAGCAATATTTGTATAAGTTTATTTAAGTGTTTAGGGTAGCGGTAAAGTACGCTGTTCCATTAAAATAAATGCCAAGCAGCTTATTGGAGTCGTAAATTTAACCTCCCAGCAAGATTAGCCCTAGGAATTCCCAGATAATTGCGAGACAATGGATTAGTCAGGTTTGCGCATAAATCTCGGATCTTTGGCCATTAAATTTATGCACGTCGCGTCTGCTTCATAAAAATCAGTAAGAGAATAACCACAAAGGCAGCGCCAAGGACAATACTTCCAGCAGGAAAACCGGATTTCGAGTGGCTTGAGTTTAGCTTACTAAGTCTGGTTGTTTTTCGTTTATTTTACAGTCTACAAAGTACTTTACTATTCCGGTGGCAAGATTTGGCATCTTTACTTTCCAAAGAAGCCATTGCCTCCATAGCCACCGCCTCCATAGCCACCGCCTCCGTAATATCCATTGGAGTACTGCGACTGACTGTATTGGCCGCCATAAGATCCGCCCTGGTTGTAGTAAGATCCACCGCCCGGGTAGTATCCTCCGTGGTGGTGCGGCCTGTGTCCGAAACCGGAGTAACCTCCTCCTGGATAGTAGCCGCCTCCGAAGCCACCGCCGCCGTACCCGGGGTAGCCCGAGTAGCCACCCCCATAGCCGCCTGGGTAGCCGCTGGCATAGCCACTAGGATAGCCACCGCCTCCGAATCCGCTATACAGGCCACCACCCACTCCGATGCCGGCACTAAGGCCCACACTGCCGCCAAATCCACCTCCCAGAAGGCCCAAGGTGCGACCTTCGGCCTTGACGGGCGCCGCCTGACCTTGACCGGCAATCAGCAAAAGGGCCAGCATCTGCAGGTAACCAAATCGATTTAGTGCATCCCAATCGGAGCGGAAATAGCAGCCGGACTTACACAACTCACACGAACCAGAGCCATTGCGATAACGAGCGCTTCTTGGACGAAACTAAATTGCAATTGTGAAGTGCCCACCGCTTTTATACCGCCGCTTCAATCTGGCCAAGAAGCTCAAGTACGCGCTACGCATTGCCAAGTGATTCTACGCAAATTGCAGAACAAACACGGCGAAAGCGAAACCAGTTTGTGACGTAATTTTGGAATCCCCAAGCGACACTTTGCCTGGCAATGCTTCACCGGGCCTCAGAATGCGTTAATTTTTCGAAGTCACAGCCCATAACTAAATTATCATTTTTTTGAGGGTTGCCTTTAGTTGCCGGCGATCAAGATCATGGAAAACCCAATAAAAATAATCACTGAAGCGATCGCATACTACAATCACCCGGCGTTTTCAAGACCAACCAGAAAATGCTGAAATACGAATATAAAAGTCCACTGTAATCGATGGATGACTGTGCAATTTAAAAATGCATAATTTGAACATAAAATGTTTTACAAAATATTTCGATGTAAAAAAGACATATTTTTTTTAATAATTTATTTTTGAATTTAGTTACTTCAATATTTTAAAAGGCTATATAATATTAAATTTAATTAAATAATTAATGGGTTTGTTTTATTTTCATAAAATTTTTATAATATTTTTGCTTAAAGCTAGCTTAAATGTACTTTACAGAGATTAGATTTTAAGGCATCTTTACAACGGAAAAATTTTAAATTATATTTAATATTACAATTTATTGATTCACCATCTTAAATCTACAATTTGGTTTTCGGTAGCAACCTGTTGCTGATTATGATCACCTGGTATTTAAATCCAAAAAAAACTACAATTTGCCATACAAATTTACGTTTTGCAGGCAAAATTGTGAGATTTTTCGGTTTGAATTACCAGGCGAACAGGAATTCCAGAAGGTAACCAACGATCGTTTGGTTTTCGGTAGCAACCTGCTGCTGACCTGGTATTTAAATCCAAAAAAAACTACAATTTGCCATAAAAATTTACGTTTTGCAGGCAAAATTGTGAGATTTTTCGGTTTGAATTACCAGGCGAACAGGAATTCCAGAAGGTGACCAACGATCATTTGGTTTTCGGTAGCAACCTGCTGTACATACATACATACATACATACATACATACATACATACATACATACATACATACATACATACATACATACATACATACATACATACATACATACATACATACATACATACATACATACATACATACATACATACATACATACATACATACATACATACATACATTCATTCATACCTACCTACCTATATACATACATACATACATACATACATACATACCATAAAAATTAACATTTTGCAGGCAAAATTGTGAGATTTTTCGGTTTGAATTACCAGGCGAACAGGAATTCCAGAAGGTGACCAACGATCGTTTGGTTTTCGGTAGCAACCGTTTGGTTTTCGGTAGCAACCGTTTGGTTTTCGGTAGCAACCGGCTGCTGATTATGATCACCTGGTATTTAAATCCAAAAAAAAATACAATTTGCATTAAAAATTTACGTTTTACTGGCAAAATTGTGAGATTTTTCGGTTTGAATTACCAGGCGAACAGGAATTCCTGAAGGTGACCAACGATCGTTTGGTTTTCGGTAGCAACCTGCTGCTGATGATAATCGCCTGGTAATTCAAGCCGAAAAATCTACAATTTGCCATAAAAAATTTACGTTATGCAGGCAAAATTGTGAGATTTTTCGGTTTGAATTACCAACGATCGTTTGGTTTTCGGTAGCAACCTGCTGCTGATTATGATCACCTGGTATTTAATTCCAAAAAAAACTACAATTTGCCATAAAAACTTACGTTTTCCAGGCAAAATTGTGAGATTTTTCGGTTTGAATTACCAGGCGAACAGGAATTCCTGAAGGTGACCAACGATCGTTTGGTTTTCGGTAGCAACCTGCTGCTGATTATGATCACCTGGTATTTAAATCCGAAAAATCTACAATTTGCCATAAAAATTTACGTTTTCATGCAAAATTGTGAGATTTTTCGGTTTGAATTACCAGGCGAACAGGAATTCCAGAAGGTGACCAACGATCGTTTGGTTTTCGGTAGCAACTTGCTGCTGATTATGATCGCCTGGTAATTAAATCCGAAAAATCTACAATTTGCATTAAAAATTTACGTTTTGTAGGCAAAATTGTGAGATTTTTCGGTTTGAATTACCAGGCGAACAGGAATTCCTGAAGGTGACCAACGATCGTTTAGTTTTCGGTAGCAACCTGCTGCTGATTATGATCACCTGGTATTTAAATCCGAAAAATCTACAATTTGCCATAAAAATTTACGTTTTCATGCAAAATTGTGAGATTTTTCGGTTTGAATTACCAGGCGAACAGGAATTCCAGAAGGTGACCAACGATCGTTTGGTTTTCGGTAGCAACTTGCTGCTGATTATGATCGCCTGGTAATTCAAGCCGAAAAATCTACAATTTGCATTAAAAATTTACGTTTTGTAGGCGAAATTGTGAGATTTTTCGGTTTGAATTACCAGGCGAACAGGAATTCCAGAAGGTGACCAACGATCGTTTGGTTTTCGGTAGCAACCTGCTGCTGATTATGATCACCTGGTATTTAAATCCGAAAAATCTACAATTTGCCATAAAATTTTACGTTTTCATGCAAAATTGTGAGATTTTTCGGTTTGAATTACCAGGCGAACAGGAATTCCAGAAGGTGACCAACGATCGTTTGGTTTTCGGTAGCAACCTGCTGCTGATTATGATCACCTGGTATTTAAATCCGAAAAATCTACAATTTGCCATAAAAGTTTACGTTTTCATGCAAAATTGTGAGATTTTTCGGTTTGAATTACCAGGCGAACAGGAATTCCAGAAGGTGACCAACGATCTTATTGTAAGGGAATTGAACATCATCGCAATACACTAACAACATGCAAAACAAATGACTTAGACAACAAACTTCAGCGAAGAATGTGCAACGAAGCAGGTCGGGATGAGAGATTTGGCTGGCCCGCATTCGTCTGGCTCATTAACACTTGTTACTTCTGCTATTCCGGCAGATCTAACTATGTATATGACTAATTACGTGTCAGCTACGTACGTGGCCAACTTCTTTTGTTTATTCTGGCCAATTGCTACGCCCTCACTTTCGTTTTCAGTTTATTCACCTACAGCTGACGTCAAGTTAACGTTCAAAGTGAGACCAAGCCCTCTTCACTAGCCAGGAAATTATAGTTAGATGCGATGACAGCGTGGATAAGGTTTATACTTTTGTTTAGTTAGCAAGTACACATTGATTTCGCAAATGTTCTATGAACTTCAGTGACGATCTCAGGAAAATAGACGATGAAATAGCAGCCCAGCAAGAAAACATTTATTTATGGATTTGTTATTCAAATTCAAATACTATTACTATTACATTTATACGTAATTTTAGTTATTTTTCACCAAAGGAATTTAGTCTGTTGCGCTTGACTGAGGGTAATGACCCACAATAAGTATTTCAATATTCAAAATTGTCTAAGTGGTTCTGTACTAATGATTATAGTCTCGCATTTGTTCTGTAATTATGATAAATCTCATTACTGTAATTACTGCGAACTTTACTTCCGTTTTTCGACGACTATAAGAATGGCAAATTTTAATCAGTTGCCATTGAGTTTTTTGCCAGCCATGAAGGTGGGAGTACAATAAAGTGGTAGCTGCTCGGACTAAATCGTTAATCTGAAATCTTTTGAAAAACTTTTCAGTACCTCTCCTTGTCTTTCCTGTTGTGCTGCCTGGTGGCCGGAGCTTTGAGTGCTCCCCAGTTTGGATATGGATTCGCACCATATGGAGGATACGGAGGATACGGAGGATATGGAGGAAGTTCTGCCTCAGCCAGTGCCGCAGCGAGCAGCAGTGCGGGAGGATATCAAGGATTCGGATACCCAGGATACGGAGGATATGGAGGATTTGGCGGAGGGTACGGTGGAGGCTATCAGCAGCAATACAATCAGTTCAGCAACTACAACAACTACGGATCTTCTGGCTATTACGGCGGTTACCCATTCGGCAGATGAGTTGGGAAAAAACTAGTCGTAGCTGCTGGAAATTTCTGTCCCTGTTTTGTTTGATTTCTTTATTTGGCTTTTAACGTGATGGAGGTCAATAAAACGAAAATACCCAAAGTGATTCACCCAAGTGTGCATTAATTTTACTATTTGCTTGTTTTCTATCACATTTAATTTAAATGCTGATCATATAAGATACTTCTGGGATTTGTATCTAATTCTTTTTGGCTTCTAAGCTAGCAAAATTTATGTCACGTTTCCCATTGACATTCATATGTTTTCAGCTCATTTATTTTTACATTTCTTTTCTCATGCCCAACTTTACTCTTGTTGCTCTCAAAAAACCTGAAATTTTCAGGGGCAAATCGCATGCATAAGGCAAATATAAACCATAGCCTGAAGTTCACGTCGGTGACAACAACAAAAGCCCGGACAAACAAGACCTCTTCAACGGCTGATTGCATAAGGGCGATTCGAATCGCTCAGAAAAAGAAAAAGCATCTGCGAGATAAAAACGCGTTGACTGACGCGCAGCCGCTTCAATTGATCACGCGTCGTTGTCCAAGTCCAAGCCAAAATACAAGCTTATTCATCGGCCCACGCAGTTGAACTTGAAGTTTTTACAACAAGATATAATCGTTTTAAAACATAAGAAGACCTGTGTTGTTTCCATAACAGATTTAATCAATTAAAGTTGCGATTAAGCCACTTTAAAAAGACAAAATGCAAATAATTGTAAGTGATGGATTGTGATGGATTTGAATTATAGAAGAAACATGTGCTGTTAGGGAGTGATTATAAATAAAAAAGAAAAAAACAAAATAATAAACACTGGCTCTTACTTACATTTAATTTTGTCGAGTAAAACTGTAAAAAAGTTTTAATATTTCATTTCTAAAACTCTAAAATTGAATTGATATAAAATATCCACGAATATTAGTGTTGTGAATTAATTTAGTAGTAGAAAATAAAGTTATTGCATTAAAAAATTATTACCGAGTAAAAATAATATTTAGTAATATATAGTCATATATATTATTTTGACATCTGATTTAGTTTTTATTTTCATTATTCAAATTGCAGCCTACACCTTTACTACTTTTCCTGGGGATTTGTTTTCTCGCCATCCTTGATGGAACTTCTGGAGGAAAAATCAAGCTACTAGCCTTCAAAGGACCTCATGCCGGCTTTGTGGGCCTCAAGGTTCGCACTCCCAAGCTGCTGGGCCTAAAAAGCGGATTGGTGGGTGGGGCAGCTGGATTTGGACTCGGCGCGGCTGTGGGCGCTAAGTTGGGCGCTGGATTAGCAGGATTGAGTAGCCATGGTGGAGGTCTTGGAGGAGGATATGGTGGAGGATACGGCGGAGGATACGGCGGAGGTTACGGCGGAGGATTCGGCGGAGGATATGGCGGAGGATACGGCGGAAGCAGCGGATACGAACATCATGAGTACCATGAAAGCCACCACAGTGGAGGATCCAGTTACGGTGGTGGAGGCGGCCTGTGGTAAAAATAGGGGTAGACTAATGTTATTAGTGATTATTCATGTCCTTGCCATCAGAATCAAACATTAATGTTATTTAGATATAATTCATTTGTCCATTTACGTAAGTAATAAAAATGTAGTTACAAACCGATTGGAAAAGTAATATACTGTTGCATTCCGTGTATTCACAACAATCGGATGTTGGATGTACACGTATATTGAATGTCAAATTTAAATGTACGATGAGGCTTCACCTAGCGGTGAGTGCTTTAACATATTTAAATGCACTGGAAAATAACTCCGTCAAAAAGAAAACGAAGATAAGCTGTTTATTCTTTTTTAGTTTAGACAGTTCAGTTACAATAGTTTTTAAGTTTTAACGTATCATAAGAACATACAAATTATAAGTTCTTTTGAAATTACTTCTCAAAGCGTTGTTAGCCTTTCCCTAACATTTTAGTAAAATGTCTAATAGAATAATGTCGAAACCTTTTCAAAGAAACTTTTGTGTACATTTTACATTTTTGTGCCATTTAACGAAAGTTTTTGAAGACTACCACCAATCGTTAAATAGGTGGCGCCACCGATTATTATATTTTGGATCATTGAACGTAATAGTGAATTTTTATATTGATTTTTAGATATAAAGTAGCCATTTGCAACCAAATAAAGTCATGTCCGTCTGACTGTCTGAAATATGTAACTATAACATTTTGATCATGATTATAAAACGTTCTAATTCGGTATACACAACAGTTTTTTGATAATAAATAATTAATCACAACTTAGTCTATTATAATTAATGGACTTAGTCAACTTATAATTATAAATTGTTCAGTAGTTTAACATGTTTAAAATAGGACACCTATAGAAAAGTTTAAAAATTAGTTGAAAATATTAAAAACTAATTCAAAGTTTCTTTGTATCTGATTGTAACGTATTTTACAGCAAGTGTATAAAAACTTCGGCATTCAATATCCTGCTTTCTTTCTTGTTCAAGGCAATTAATCTAATAAATCTAAGCTGCTCCTACGGGAAGAATAGAGTTAAGTTAAACGGTTGTTGAAAAATGTTGTTCACCAATTGTTCTTTAAAAGTTAATAAAATTTAAAAATAATCAAATATTTTCCTATGAAACTAAAGTCCTGCGCGTTAGTCCTTTTTGTGTTGTGTGAACACAATAACATATATTGTGTTGGTTTATGCCTAATACTTTATGATGTTTTCGTAGTGTAGTGGTTATCACGTGTGCTTCACACGCACAAGGTCCCCGGTTCGAACCCGGGCGAAAACAGGACGACTATTATTTTATAATTTCTTACATTTTGTAACGATAATATTAGGGTTGAAAACGCTACCATAAATAAAACATAAAATCCTTAAGTAATAATTTGAAAACTGGAGACAAAGCTATAAAAAGTTTTTTATGTACATATTTTGATAAATAAATACATAAACCATTTATTTTCTATAGTTTAAATATATTTTTTCTTTAATTTTTCTGAAAATTTTCACAAAAAAATTATTAAATGTGGTTGAACGGAACGACAAAAGTAATACAGCTGGGCTCAACCGGGATTTGAACCCGGGACCTCTCGCACCCAAAGCGAGAATCATACCCCTAGACCATTGAGCCTCATGCAAGAATCGCCGCTGCTTGCAAGTTTCGATCTATGTAGAGCAAAGCATTTTCTTGAATACAATTCGAGGTGAATGGAAATATACCATCTGCCCCAAAGACAAACATAAATAATTTCTTTGATGTAACAATCTTAAATATTTGTTTAATAAACATATAACAAATTCCTATCGCCTTCTAAAGATGCCACCGCCTAAGCCGCCATAACCACCGCCTAAGCCGCCTAAGCCGCCTAAGCCGCCTAAGCCGCCTAAGCCGCCATAGCCACCGCCAAATGAACTGGCAGAGCTAAATGAGGAGGCAGAGGCAAAGTTCTGATAGCCTCCGAAACCGCCGCCATAACCTCCGCCAAATCCACCTAGACCTAGACCGCCCTTCCATCCGTGTTTGATGGGAATAGCTACTGGTTGCGGGACTGGGACTGGAATTGGTTGAGGAACAGCCACTGGAACAGGAACAGGCTGGGCCACTGGGATCGGTTGGGCAACTGGATATGGGACAAAATTGTTGTAGACAGGGGCGTAACCTCCTCCGAATTTTCCACCAAAACCATGTGAGTGTGCAAGCCCCAAGCAAAGCAGCAGGGCCAGACCGAAAATCGTTATCTGCGAAAGGGAAATCGATTCATCTAGAGTACAGGTATAGAAGTTACACACTAACCTTGTTTTGCCTCATGTTCTCTATTGGATCTAAGTGTTGCCCAGTTTGGAACCGCCGTATTTATAGCAATGTCCAGCACTTCCTGAACTTCCTTTTCTTGCATAGTTCAAAGAACTTGCAAAAACTTGATCCATAACCAGTTTATCGGAGCTATCAATTTTAATTGTGCCAAAACTTAGTCGCAGCAACTAACAGCGAAGTATAAGAAACCGTGTGAAAAGCATTGAAGTCGGTTAAGTTTAGATGAGTTGAAGGTCGTATTTTGGTCGTGTTCCGGAGTAATGTGGGCGTACGTTTTTAAGAACATTGCTATAAAAACTGAAACAATCGGTGGCTAAGCAAGTCAGTCACATTTACGACGAACTAGAAACATGGTCAAAATTAGCTGTTCGGTGAGTAGTGGCTTATTATACAGAAGATCATATGATTTCTAAAGGATTGTTTTCCCCTTTATTAGCTGGTGGTGCTCCTTTCGCTTTGCGCTTGTTCATACGCTCAATATGAATATCCACAGCAGCGACCTTCGCCGGGAACTGGAGCTCAGCCTACTGGTGGGCAAGTAGACAATCGCATCCTTGGCAATCTCCTCGGTGGAGGAGGCGGTGGCGGTGGAGGACTCTTCGGCAATTTGTTGGGCGGCCTTTTCGGTGGCAACCGTCCGCAGCCCCAGCCCTACCCAGTGCCAGTTCCGGCATATGGGGGCGGTTTCGGCGGTGGATACCCACTTGGAGGAGGCGGCTATACGGGCGGTCTGCCTGGCGGTTATCCTGGTGGCTTTGGCGGAGGCTTCGGTGGCGGCTACGGCAATCCATACGGTGGATATTATGGCTAAGACCACTATTTGTGGAGGTCCAAACGTATTATTTGATTTATAAGTTGTTGACATTGAGTATTAAATTTAATTCATGAAAAAAACACAAATCGGCCATGTATTATTTTGGCTGAGCCCTTAGCACAAGGGGATGTAGCTCAGATGGTAGAGCGCTCGCTTAGCATGTGAGAGGTACGGGGATCGATGCCCCGCATCTCCAACTGATATTTTATTTTTTCCCAATCAAATGTTTATTTTCCCATTTTTTTAAATAAAGTGGATTTGTTCGTTTTTTTTGCAACCGTATATTTGTTATCGCAATATTCTCACGCGTTTGCCAAGCGATATAAGGTAAAATATGTTGTTAGGAGCCCTGCGGACAAGCGGCTCAATGGTCTAGGGGTATGATTCTCGCTTTGGGTGCGAGAGGTCCCGGGTTCAAATCCCGGTTGAGCCCGTCGAAACTTTTTGGATTTTTATATATAATATTTTTTTTAATTAATTACATTTTTAATTTTTCTTCAGCCAAAAAATTATTTAAATAAAATGTATAATTGATAAGGAAAAAAAAATAAGACCAACTGGAGATGCGGGGCATCGATCCCCGTACCTCTCACATGCTAAGCGAGCGCTCTACCATCTGAGCTACATCCCCGATGCGACTGAGTGCGTTTAAATACCTAAATACGCAGCGTTGCTGTTCAAATTCATTTCTTTTGCACAATTCATTTGGTGATTGCTTGGTTGTGATTTCTGAATTCAGCTTTGAGTGCTTGAAAATAGATAGGAATTGAGCCATGCGGACTCTTTGAAATAAACTTATGCATTTCATTTCCGTTTCCGGTCAGTGAAAGTTGTTTGAAAGAAAGCACAAACACCTGTCAATTGAGTCTGGAAGGACAACTCCCACTTGCTTTTTCCTGCTGTCCAAGAACAAACATAAATAAACTCCAGGACAAATGCATATGAAGAAGGAGAGAATTGGACAGGAGTCAACCAACGCCTCAATATGTGGAAAAGTAGATTCCGGTGGTCAGATCCCTTCACTATCTGCACTTTCACACTTCTGTTTATTCAACTGTCGCATGGTTGTTTGCTTCTGCCACGCCCTTGGGCATGGGCAAGCTCTATTATTATTTTCGCAAGTTATATAAAAATAATAACAGGAACGGACACGGAGCTGACCAGGCCAATGGATGGCCATCCATTATGCTGCCGGGCATTTATTTGCCAAACAATTGAATCTCTCCCCAGCTCCTTGGGCAGCTTGCAACCACTTCATCAGCCATCCTCGTCTGCAGCTATCTTATGGTTTATGATGGAATCAAAACAAATGCCGGAGCATCGTAACTCAGCTTGGCTCGTCCGGAACCTCGAGCTCATCCTTCAGCTGGTGAGGATGATGATGATGAGTTTGTTTATGCAGATTGCTTGTGGAGTTTTTCCTTTGGCGTTAATGGATAAATGGACGTGTGAGTGTGTGCGTGGGTAACCCTTTTTGAGGATTTTTCCGGGGAGCTGCGCCACTTTGGCAATCTAGTTGGTAATGTAAACAAAATGATTTTAATTGCACAGATGAACGGTTTTCATTTAAATTTATTGATACCAAACAATGAAACATTTCATTTTAAGGCATTTATAATTAAATAGTGAATTTAGTTTGCACCCTTTTTATAGTTCAATATTAACATTATTAAACAATGAAATCATTAACTTTGTAGGATATTAAAGTTTTCATGTCTGAGTAAAGCAATTGGTTGTGTTTTTCGGATTCGAGAACTTATTTTATCTCTTTTCACTTAAACTTTTTTTTGCACACACATTTCAATTAAAATTGTATTGTTTTCTTTTACTTTGTCTGCTCTGTTTACTTGGGCGAGCGCTTCCTCCGGCTACTTGTTATTCCCATTCATCCCAGCTGAGGTAAGGGTATTGGAAACGGTCCTGGCCGTTGTCCAGGTCCGGCTCCTGGTCCAGAATATCCACCTGCGTTGGCCGTTACCGTACCAACGGATGAGGGCGGTGGCATACCAGGTGCCGGTGGAGGGAAGGGCGGAGCTGGTCTCATTGGCGATGTCCCACTGAGATACCCATATCCCATGGGACTTCCAGCCGATGCAGAATTTTGATCACTCTGATAGATATAGACATTGCTGTTCCCCTGAGCCTGCTGCTGATTCAGAGGCATGCTGTAAAATCCTGCGGGTGTAGCGTAGTAACCTGGTTGAGGACCAATAGCCACCGGATTGCAGCCATATGCGGGACAATTGTAATAGCCGGATATGGGATAAGCGGGACCGGCGAAAACGGGATCCGGATTATGATAGGCCATCCACCGGTTACGCCAGCGCCGAAACAAGGTGCCCAGAAAGAAAAACGATCGTCCATCGATGGGTTCTGGTTTTGAATGATCCGTGTCCTCATCCAAATCCATTTCGGTTTTCTGAGATCCATTGCTATTGACCAGGATCAGCAAAAATACAATCTGGAGCACTGACATTTTTCCAACTGCATCTACTGAAATCTCTGAGCGAACTACTTGCGTCGGATCGGATCCAAACTCCAAATCATGGAGTCCCATGAAGACAGGCTGCCTAATGGGCCTTGTAATGAATATTCAAGTGCTGTAACTTCGTCAGAGCGAACAAACCGTGAAATTTTATTAATACAAAAGCTTTCAAGGCTGCCCTAGTTACCCAGGAAAGTCTGTGCAAGTACTTAGATGCACTTCTTTCTTAAATTAAACAGATGTCAGTAATTGAAAGAAAATAATTTAAAACGATTTCTTATGTTATAACCTAAAAATGATAACATTTATATAAAAACCCAAAATAAATGTAGATAAAATAAGAACTAAAGAAAATAACACATAAGTAAATGAATACTAAAACGCTATACCACTAATCGTTCATAGGTACGCCCCAAAAAAGATAGCGCCGCTCACATCGGGGATGTAGCTCAGATGGTAGAGCGCTCGCTTAGCATGTGAGAGGTACGGGGATCGATGCCCCGCATCTCCAGAAGGATTTTTTTTTATTTGGTGAAATAATTAGCAGCTAATGTATGTTAAAAAACATTTTAAGAAATGTAAATAAAGTATACAAAATATTTTTAGATTGCTGTTGCAGTGATTTTTTACATTTTATGCTTTCCCACGTAAATACCCGCAAGCCGCACGTACGAGCAATCTTTCATTATTAAATGTTAAGAAAAACTTGAAGTTTTTGACTTTTGCTGCTTGATTTTATTTTGCCGCTTTACAAGCTTTTTGTGTAGGGCAACAAAAACGTTTTGAGTTATGAGTTCTGCGTGCCAGGTGTGCTAACATTTTTGGCTCTTGCAGATAATGCGACCAATAAACACCCTGTAGTTCTGTGCTGCTCTGGAGTCACTACTCATTGAATCATTGAATGTGGAAAAGCACAGCAACTTGTGAACCATGCATACCCAACTTTTAACAGGAGGCCTGCGAATAAAGTGTGCAAAAAACAGGTGACAACAATCAGTAAGAGGTAAAAAAGGAGGTGGCGCACGTTCGTGTCTGGAAAAACAAAAACAAAAACAAGAACCACCAAAGGCTGTGAAAATTCACGCGCCCGTGAAAATTTCGCACGTTTTTACGGACCATGAACTTCTTACACCCCGACCAGATATCGTTCCCAAATTTGAGTTATGGCTGCATAGATTAGCTGGCAACTATTTGATTTCTCCAACCCGAAACTCATTTAATTAAAAAAATACGCAAAGTCAACAGAAAAACTACAAACGAAATTAGAGTCTAGGGAAACTTTCCACAAACTTTGTTGCCATCAAAACAATAAAAACCACAATCCTCGGCCGGGCTTCGCCTTTGTTATCGAAGCTCGAAACGGACAATGGAGTGTCCTTTTTTACGACAATGCCAAATCCGGCGGAACCACATAAATTATGTTAATGCCTCAGCTATGTACACGCCCACTGTGTGCGACTTCGCCCGGACTGACCGTCCAGGATAATCAGAAAAATACACAGCACACATAGTCCTGGGCGAGGGACATTTGCTTAGTGGTTTTGTGCGATAGTTTCTGGGCTGTCCTGTCCATTGAGAAAATTGCTGACAATTGCTGAAAATCTTGGTTGACGATGAGGCTTGGATCAGCTTCTTTTGGGGTGGGCGTCATAGCGTTAGGCGAATGATATATGTTTGAACACATGTCGTTGGGGGCCAGAGAGTGAGCTTATACGGTCTGGACAAATATTAGAGGGGTATTTCAGTGGAGATGGGCAAACTTTGAGATCATCAAAAGGGAATCGTTCACCTAACTTTTGTATCCGATAAGTGAAGTCCTGCCGCAGACACCCAGATATTAATTCTCGGGGGGAAATTAGAAGAGGACATTGCTGTATCCGATTTACAAGCAAAAAGGACGCTGTAAATGAAATTTATAAATATAATATAGCATTGTTCGGCTTGTCAGAAGTTTGTTTTCCCTCCATTGTTACATAATTATATGCCCCGGAGTTATCGGTGGGCTTGAGTGCGCTTGTGTATAAAAAAGCAAGATAAGCCAGAGGCGAGTGCATGCAAATAAATTGAAACAAATAAGCTGGCTGCTGACTGCCGGCTAATTGCAGGGAGTCCCCTTTATCCCCAAAGGCGGGTGAAATTGAAAAGCCGTTCGTTCCATTTGCAAGGCAAATACGCGAGGCCCCGGATCTCCGGTCCTTTTTTTTCACCTTGCGGTGGACAACATCGCAACATGCTGTCGAACATTTCCGCCGGACGGTTTCCGTTATGCAACGCCACTGCAAGGACAACAACAGGTGGATGTCGAGAAGGATGTGCGCGGTGGTGGTGATTCTGAGTGCGTGGCCACTGTTTACGCCGACCAAACTTTTTGTCAGCTGTCATCGGGGCAGACGTGCAAAAGAAAAACCAGAGCTTCCCCTTTATTCTGATTCCAAAAGACTGACAGCTGCAACGTACTGCGCTGAATACCCCGTAGGAAAAAAATAACCACCCACAACACAGTTTGTGTTTGAGAAGGCCCCGGCGAGATTCGAACTCACGATCTCCTGTTTACTAGACAGGCGCTTTAACCAACTAAGCCACGGCGCCACTTGCACTTAGCCCGAAAATTTGGAAACTTCACTTGTGTGCTGCTGAAGGTATCATAGATCATTAAAAATAAGTTCAAGGTCACGTATTGATTTTGAAATGTACTCTACAGATAAAATACTTAATTAAAAATATATCAAAAAATGTAAAAAATAGTGACACAAACTCTTTGTGTAGGCCCCGGCGAGATTCGAACTCACGATCTCCTGTTTACTAGACAGGCGCTTTAACCAACTAAGCCACGGCGCCATGCGATATTCGGCTGAGCAATTTCACATAATTGCCTCGCCCAATTTCAATTTAAATTTAGGTAGTGTAAGAGGCCTTAATTAAATGCTCTTCAAATAGAAGATCTTAAAGGGCAATTCAGTAAAGTCCACGTGTCTCAATAAAACATAATTTATGTGAACTACTTTTCGTGTTTTTTGAATAGGAAGAACCATACCAAAATGATTAGGTTGTTTTTTATCTTCCGATGCTTCCAGAGTACGATACGTGTACAAGCATTTGGGAGTCCCGCTGAGATTATTCACAATATCTAAAGGGGAAAAACAAATGCATATAGCTGTGTATTATAGAATGATTAACAGACAAGAGAAAAGTGACGGGTAGTCACCCAAGATGCGTTTGGGTACTTTTGCGACCAAAGAAATCAGGCTATAAAAGCGACCGTCGGGCATATGCAGTCACTCAAACAACGATATATCGTCCAAGCAGCAAGACGAAATCCAGGAATCAAATCCAGGAATTCAAATGGAGTGCCAAGCTACAGGAAACCCAAAAACCGGAGCGGCAACCGCCCAGTGCGGAGTGAGGGCGGGTGATGATCTTGCCAGTGCTCGGGCCGGAGTATTTGCCTCCACTCCAGGCGCTGGTGGTCCGGTCACCAAAGGGGTTTATGGAGCGGTCAACGCGTAAGTGCACTTTATGCCCAGAACAAAGGGCCATAGGAATTGTTAATTCTTAAAGTAGAGTAGATATGAAAATGATGTAATTTTTCTTCTCCTCATCCCACAGCAATGGCCATTCTCTCTCGCTGCAACATGGCCACATCGAGGGCATGGGCAGCTCTACCACTGCCGCAGCACAAGCCAATCTCTTCCAGACCAACAACGGCGCGCTGAATGCAACTGCCTTCCACAGTCATAGCCGAGCACACGATCAGTTTGGTGGTGGACTCAATTTGCAAACGGGAGCGGGTCACCAGGCGGCAGTGGGGGTCACTAGGGTGCCGCAGTTCGGCATGACCGCCGTACAGGCTTCTGGCACTGCTAATCTATATACCTCTCCAAGTGGAAACCTCAACCTCAATGCCACCGGAAGTGCCAATCATCACTTGAGGGGACCGATGCGGGGCAAGTCCGATTTCGGCACCGGAGTTAACTTGCGATATAACTTTTGATTATTTAACGTGTTACTATTCTGTACTTGCATATTAGTCAAGAAATCTTAAATCTCGATGCTCAAATACGGCATCTTATTAAAATCGTTTCTACTTGGTAACACGCAAAATCATTCAACTGCTCCACCCCTGTCAATGTGCCCATCGATTTGCCATTTTTCATTGAGCGAAATTTACACAATAACCGAACCACTTGGGGAAATCCTTTGGGGTTCGAGAACCCATCTACAGACAAACGTAGAAACGTAGACCATGAGAAACAAATTTTTGACTAGTCAGCTTTTTGGCCAATATGTGCAAGCACCGCAACCGTTAAGTGCCATAAAAATAATTCAAAATAAATTGCTTTACATAAAAATTTGGTTTTGGCAGAGCAGCGCGCCGCCCAACTGTTTTATAAGGTGTATAATTTGGCCATAATAATGCGCATCATGGCAGCATCCATCGCGGGGTTGGTTATTAATTCTCGGTCGACGCGTCGTCGAGGCCGAGACATAAATAACGCGTTTTATGCGTGAATATACTTTGCATTTTTCGCAGACACGGCGGAGTCCTAGTTAAGCCGTAAAAATTACACCAGCCAGTCAAGAACGCCACCCTGACTTTGACTTCCTCGCAGGACCAAGGCAAGTCATGTCAGCTGGCCTAATCCCCAGGTAGATATCCGCCTTGATTGGCCGCAATGAAAGATGCCAAGTCAATACTTTTGATACTCCCGAGGGTCCTGTGGGTCTTGTGGGGCTTTTGGGCGGCGGTGAGTGTTGAGTGGGATAAACGCTGACTTGTAATGTCATGTAATTAGGGTCATAATCGGCTTGCCACTTGAGGTTTATCTCGCAGCCCAAAACGACTTTGTTATGCAAATCTTTCTGTTGGAGAGCAAAGATATTTTAGGAAAATAGGAAAACTCAAATTGGCCAGACTTTAATGGTGATGGCTTTTGTGTAAGCTGATTATTTAATTTTCACTTGGTTTTATTTGATGCTAAGTATTTCAAGTT